AACAAACTTAAATTGTACAGACTCGTATGAAAATTATTTTTTTCAACAGAAATGGAGATGGTGTGTCTTATTCCTCTGCTATGTTGTAAGAGCTGTGAATATAAGAAGCAAGAATGGAACTTAACAATGAAGCTGCTATGGGATGCTTCTCTCTGATGTATTGTGAGTATAAAAATAGCTGATAAAAATTGGTGAAGTACTCTAGTTAAGTTCGTAGCAAATGCAGTTGTTGTGTGTTATTGTGGTAAGTATTGTTATGGTGTTCATTTCATTGGAAGCCTACAGGAATGGCAGTGCTGTGTGTTAGGTGCTGCATGTGAAGAAAAATAAATAAGAAGGAGACGTGGATACTCAACAAGAGGAGATCTTGTAATCAGCAAAAGTTAAGGCATTAAGGATAGTTTTGTTTACAGGGAAATATTAGAAAGAGTTGAGACTAAGATCAAGAGATGTTTTGTTCAAGGGGAAATATTAGGCAAAAGCTAAGGAGTATAGTAGTTTCGGTTAAAGTGTTAAGATCAAAGTAGGTTGGGTTTCCATGTAAAAAGAAAGGGGTCTTAGGCCAATACGATGTGTTTTGTATGTGTCAGTATATTGGCTCAATACGGTGCATTTTTATAATCATCTTCTTGATATAAAAACGCAAGGGTTCTCTGTACCAAAATCAGCTAACGAAAATTCAATAGACCCATTCAGCTAGCACAACTGTTTTTCTCTCAAATTATTTATTTTTGTTAATTTCTTTTTCAAATCCACTCAAGAATCTTCAGTCTTATATATATATAAATATATATAAGACTGAAGATATAAGACTGAAGATTCTTGAGTGTGTATATATATATATATATATATATATAGAGAGAGAGAGAGAGAGAGAGAGAGAGAGAGAGAGAGAGAGAGAGAGAGAGAGAGACTTTGTTATTCTTTTCCTAACGTTTCCTTCGAAATTCAAGGAACAGTCGCTGTAGCGATCGTTCTTTCTATCCCATGAGTTGGGAATCTTCAAAATTTGGAAAAGTTATCAACATAAACTTTGTAGCTATATGAATAAGCTTTCCAATGCCCCAAGAATAATTGAATTACGATTTCTATAGCTCAAGTTATGATCGAAAAATCGAAGTATGATCATCTTCAAGGATTTCCAGGTTTTACGTCGTATCTTCAACGCGTCACAACTTTCTTGTTTCAACTCCAATTCTTGTCCCGTTTGTTCCAACTCGTCATAAATTTCATCGACATCATTATTCTTCATTCAATATCATTTTTAACCTGAAAATACTCAAAATACACATTTGATCCTGTAGAATGTATTTATGAAATAATTAACTCAAATTTCACATTAAAAACACATTTTTCCACAAATAATCCAATTGAATCACTAGCAAAATATATATTTTCGAGCTCTTATCAGAAATTGTGCAAGTAATAAAGTATAAGAATACAAATGTCGAATAGAAGGGAATTACTATTATCAATTACCAATTTAAACTATCCTATTACTATTTGATTAATCCAAATTTTATCAAGGAAAACATAAAGGAATAAAAAAACAGTTGAAATTAAAAGAAAACTGAAAAGAAAACAATTAAAATAAATCTTTGGGTTTAAAGAAAGATGACAAGACCTAGGGCATAGATTTCGCACCAACTCTTATTCATATGCATTGATCACTTATGCTAATTTTATTAAGCTCTTTCTAAAGGTCAAACTCTCTAAATTTCCAATAAATTTCTTTCGAACAATTATCGAATTAACTCTTAATTACTAACCCAAATTATCTTTAATCAGATTTAAGCAATTGGAGATCATTACGCTCTATGGAGTTTGCTAGAACCTCATAAGTCGCGGTAACCTATCTCTAGCGTTCACTCAACCTATGATTTTACTACCGTAGACCAACTAAGTATCATGTCTCGATCTCAACTTAGTCCATTAATTCATTCAATTCTTTGGCCCTTAAGAATCAAAAGCATTAGGCATAATAATAAAACTTAGAAGAAATCTTAATAAAAATCAATATAAATAAATCAACACATAATCAAGAGATTGGGCTACATCTTAGCCCTAGAAAATAAAGTTAGTTCATAATAAACATGAAAGAAACAATCATATTTATTAAAATAATCAATATGAGTTTATAAGAAAGAAATAAAAAGAACTTCTCTATATTATGAATCAAAGCTCCAAAAATTCTGACATTTTTCTTCTCTACAGGTTTTTCTTCTCTTATTCTCCCAAAGAATCCCCAAAATAATGCTAAAAGACTTCCCTTTATATCCCACAAGAGTTAGGGTTTTATTTTTCTTAATTCTATTTAGTTTAGGACTCTAAACCCCATTTTCCTAATAAAAAACGGAAGAAAAATTCCTAACAATTGTGATTGTGGCCCAGCAATGTGCTGCACATGGTCGATTCTGGACAAAGTGTGGTGCGGCACAGTGCAACACAGCGATAACTTCTTCTTCTTTAGTTCAAATCTCGCATCATTCCTTAGCACTCCAAAGATGGTGATTTTTTAGCACTATCATGATGGAATATGGAGAAGTGGTAAACATATGAAATGTATCCCTTTTTATGTAATGGATAGCATGGTGGGCCGTACTACTATTCGGTTGCTTCACAGCTCGCCGGTACAAGCGGTAGGTATTGTCCTCCCCCTTAACGGGTTTCTTGGCCTCCCACACCACTCAAACCCATGCCCAAGGGGATATAGGCAAATGGGTATGGTGTGTACCATTGGGCTAACTTTGAATCATCTATCCAACAATCAAAGAATCGTCTTAATCTGAGATATACAGCTCAAGATATTGTCAAAACATCGAGGCATGCTCAAACTGGAGTATAATCTAGATTCCCCTCTTTACTTCTAAGCTCCATAACTTCTTCAATTCAACTTCGATTATCAATCCATTTGTTTCTACTCATCACTCATTCCGTTGCCAATATGATTCTTCATTCGAGCATAACATTTAGCACTAATAACTTGAAAAACACTCAAACACACCCTTGATCCCATAAAGAAGAAGTATGAAATATTAAGCAACTTTACCAAATTAATCCTAATTTCTCACCAAGAATCCCCTAAATCACTAGGTAAATGTATATTTTCAAGCTCTTATCAAGCCTACATCCACTGTAATTCTTATTGCTTAGAGAGCTTATAATGCCTAGAATAATTTGTTAACCTCTCTTGCATCGTTGGAAGGAGTTTATATACAGGTTTTTTAAAAGGTAAGAGCAGAATTAAAGGAATTACAATCAAGATGAAAGTTCGACTTCGATATTCTTGCGATTGAGCACTAAGATCGTGCTATCATTGCTATTGATCTGATCTCTTCTAAAATATCTGCGATTTGAGCTTATCTATGATATGTTGAACAACTGTTAAAATTGGTCACGATTGGCTTATGCTGGGTCGACTATACCTTGACGAGCTTATGCTAGGTCGAACAAGTCTTGAGCCAAATTGATTCTCGGTCAAGCTATAACCTCGCAGAAATCTGGCTTCTCCGAACTTAATTGAAAATTCACACACAACATATGTATATAGGAGAGAGAGAGACTTTATTTCAAAATTCAAGGATTAGATTATGGTCTTATTAATTAATTTGATGATACTTTAGATTGCAATTTATGCGGTCGGTTCAAGCTTTGCTCTTTATTCATTTTTTAATCAAAAAGTATAACTAAAAAGTAAGAATAATGATATGTTTACAACTGAGTCATACAATTAGATACATAAACAAACAAAAATTTACAAAATTCAAATAACAACTCTATCCTATATTTTTTGCCTATTTGTATGTTTAGTTGTATGACTCAGTTATAAACATGATATTACTAAAAAAGTAAAACATTTTCCACCTTTCGTCCAGTTTTTTATAATTGAATTCTTTCACTCGATCTTTATTGTACTTGTATAACTATAACAAGAACCCAGTTGGAAAGTTTCACTTGACTCTTGTGCCTACAACAGTTGTTAGGCATTAAAATGGTTGGTTACCAACCACCATATTTTAATTATGAAAGGGCTACGAATTAGGTTTTGGAATTTGACTTGTTTAATTTTAATTATATAAAGAAATAATTAAAAATGACCACAACATATAATATAGTGTGCCTACTTTGTCCTGATTATATATAAGTATCCGAATTTATAAATGAATATCTTACATATATATGATTCGTGAAACCATATCAATGATGTGAACATCACGAATTTGATAAGATTATGTTTCCAAACTTAAGATAAATTAATGGGAGGAAGAGAACAAAAATCTTTATTCAATGAAATTTGTTTAATACAATATTAATTAAGACTATTAAGGTAAATTAAATGTGTACAGTTTACTTGCTCACGATATCATAATTGTTTTGCCGATAATTTATCTATTATAGAACTTTACAATATAACCAAATGAGAAATTAGTAGTTGTTGTGATTTCAAGTACATTATAAAATTAAATCTCAATATAGTCACATTCTTCTAAGATGAATTCAATGTAAAATATACAAATTCTGGTATCAATCAATACTATGTTTATTTGTCTTGCAACATATTTTGTCATAAAGCTACTTACATTAAATCAATGTACTATATTTTTTACCCCAAAAAAAAGAGAAAAAATTTTCAAATCAACATTTCTATATATTTAAAAGAATTGGCACTCACTCTTTTCTTATCCTATTTTCCTGGTCGTTAATATCTTTCCAGTTATTATTGAAATTTCACAAATCAATTGTTGTGACATTTTATTTAATAAACTTATACAAAATATTGATACAAATTATTTCCTATAAATTGATGTAACAACCCTGTTTTTTTAAATGTAAACTGCTTCTTTTCTCATCTTAAAACACATCAGTTCCTATGCTAAAGTTTGTATATAAAACATTCTTGTATTTAATATGGATGAGTTGCATATATAGATTTTTATTTGATGACATATACATACATATATGTCCATGATACACAACACTCTCTCTTATTACTGAAATGGAATTACACAGCTCATAGAGGAATTTCAAAACAAAAACAAAGCAAATAATAATAAAGTGAGACTCAAAGCCAACGCAACCACCACAACAAATGAGATCAAAGTTCAAAGTAGCTTGAGTGAGAAATTACCACGTAGATTGTCTGAGCATTCCCATTTGCCTGGAAGAGGAATTGATTTCAGTTTTTCTGGAATTCTCAGTTTGTTGGAGCATCCTGTGATACTCAAGCCTCTAAGCATTGGCATGGCATCTTCATCTACTTCCCACTCCTCCAACTGAATTAAATTTGAAAGAAGTAGAACTTCAAGCCGAGGAAACCCATTTGCCCTGCAGCTCAGTTTCTTTCCGAGATAAGATGCATTGGCTAAAACAAGAAACATGAGATTTGGCAACCTCTCTAATGAAGGGATCGAGTCTTCCTCTAGCAACGAATCCGCTAACTTGAGGCCTTCAAGATTTGGAAAGATTTCTTCCAAGTTTTCTGGGAGTTTCTCTATTCTCCCACATAATCTCAAATCTACAAGACATCGGCAATGACCGAGTAATTGTAGAGAAGGAAATGACAGATCGGGATCCAACCAAACGGATAAAACACGAAGGCTTCTAAGTTTTGCAACAGTCTCAAATTTGAACTCTGGAATAGTAAGATCTCCATCACATTGAATTTGCAGCTCTTGAAGATCAACCAAACTTTCAGGGTTGAGCTCCTCCCAGCTTGATTGATAAACATATTTTAGAGTCAAGAGCTTTTTCAAATTTGCTATCGGCAAAGACCCTGAAAAGAATCCAATTAGATGCCTCAATTCTTGCAACTTTGAAATTTCAGTTGGTAGAGGAACATACGTATGAGCTCCTTCCATATGCAAAGTTTGTAACCTCCGCAAGTTGCCAATGGATGATGGTAAAGTAATTATCGCTTCATCCTGTAACCCCAGATATATCAAATGAATCAACTTTCCAACCTCTTTAGGTAATGTCTTTCCAAAAAGGTCGACTTCGAGCACTCTAAGAAATTTAAATGTTTTGCACAAGGGTGTCAACTGGCTAGTTTGTCGATTGAAGAACAGAAGGGAACGAGAGAGCTTATTTGAATGTCGAAGCCACAGAAACCTTTCCCTTACCAAATAAACAGCTTGACGTCGACATGATGATGCAATTGATGAGCGAGTACTTGAATGACTGATTTCATCATAAATATGATAGAAGTTCAGTTCTTCTGCCTTCCTAATTGCAAGGTCTCGTAAAAGATCATGTACTCGACATGTTACAACCGTCCCCCAACATCTTTTGTCTATTTGCACCAAACTTCTGTTAATCAACTTTATCACATAATCCGCAGCCACGTCTTCCATTATTTGATCTCCACCTTCCTGTATAAAGCCTTCTGCCAGCAACAACCGGATTAATTTTTCAACGTTTATCTCAAAATCCTCTGGAAAAAGACCGATATAGAGAAAGCACAGCTTCAACTTATGAGGCAAATCATTAAAACTTAAAGCTAGCAAATCTTCAATATGAATTGAATCATCAATTAAATGTCGCCAAATGCTGTCATACACCGCACGCCATTCCGAAGGCTTCTTTGTGGACAAGAGCCCACCCAACACAACTATCGCAAGTGGAAGGCCACCACATTTTTGCAACATCTGTTCTCCCAAGTTCTTCAATCCATCATCTACAATATTTACGTTTTGAAAAGCTTTCTTAGAAAATAGTTGCCAACTCTCCTCCGGACTTAAAAATTGAAGCGCGTGGGCATAAGTTTTCTCGTCTGAACGCTGCGCTACTTCTTTGTTGCGTGTGGTGATAATTACTCTACTACCATTCTTGTTGTCTGGGAAAGCTCGTTTCAGGCTCTCCCAAGTTTCCTTTTGCCATACATCATCCAACACCAGTAAATATCGTTTTTCTTGCAAAAACTTGTGAAGCTTTCTTTCCAAATTTTCTCTGCTCATCTTCCGTACCTCCTGCATCTCCTTTCTGGTTTCGATCATCTTGAATGACTCCATAATTCTTTGAAGAACATTACGATTATCGAAATCTTGTGATATCGAAACCCAAGCACAATGATCAAAATGTTTGTTAATGTCATAGTTATGGTAAAACTTTTTAGCAAGAGTAGTTTTACCCAAACCACCCATACCAAAAATCGAAATGACAATACGTCCAGGCTCGCCCCCGAGAAGTTTGGGCAACAGTTGGTCAGCATCTGCATGGAAGCCAACAACGTTCTCTTCAACTGTGATGGAATTCTGTCTTCTCAGATCTTTCAATTTCCCAAGAGCATTGCTGTTACCTTCACTCATGCTACGAGTATCTATAAGTTTGTATGCTTCTCGCTTCCGAGAGACATCACTGATTCTCATTCTGAGTTTTTCAATCTCTTTGCCGAAGCTATACGAATTTACCATTTTGAATGCGCAAGAGCAGTTCATCACAGAAGAAAAGAATCTTAGCCTTCTTTTCAGTGTTACTACTTCATCCACGTCGACCGTATCCGAAATATTCTCTTCATCTTGCACCTTGACCAAAAATGTGTCTAAGACATCCTCAGCATCATAAGCAAGATCAATGATATCAGATACCCACTGGCGTATCATGGGATCGTTGCTTTGTTTTTCTTCTGCATCCTTAATGAAACATTGCATCCATTCCAATTCGTTCTTAAGCAACTGCACTTCATTCTTCACTCCTCCTAAGAAGACTGCTTCCTGGATGATAAAGTCCCCAAGCCTTCCCACAACAAATGATACTACAGCATCAACCATACTTTAAAAGCTAGATTTTGCTGCTTGTTAGGGAGTTTTTGGCGGAGACTGGACTTGATTTGGATCAGAAGGTAAATTACTAACTGAAAGAGTCCTAGGATCAAATGAAAAAGAGAAACTAGAAAGCTGTTATACTTTCCCGAGAAACAGAAAAAAATTCCAGAACTGATCTTGTTAGGATCCTAGGGTTTACTAATTAACACTTACAGCCCAATAACACAATCAACAGTCGAATTTATCAATCAAAAGCAAAGAGATAAGTAAGCAAAGAAGAACACAGAACACGACAGATTATAGTGGTTCGGCTTTGCAATCTATATCCACTCTCCAAGGCTCACAGTCTACATCCACTCTCCAAGGCTCACTGTAGGGTATTTTCACTACTCAATCACCAAGAATGTACAATAGATGAACAAAGAACAAAAAAGAATACAAAGGAAGGAACACACCCAAATTGAAAACCCTAAGCTTCGCAATTGAGATCTACCTCCTCTTCTGCAGCAGTCACACTAAATACACAATCATCCTTCTCTAAATCAGCCTCCACCTATCTTTGATTTCTTCATAGCCGTGAGATGAGCAACAATCCAAAAGATTCTTCAGCCATGCGTTGTGTGAGGAAAAGAGAGAGATGAGAAGCTTCGCAACAGTCAAGAATCGGAGGACACGATATTCATCTTGGTCCACCACAAAAACGACGCGGCATGCTTCTTTAACTCTCTAAAAACAAAGTGCTGACTTCCACCGTGGCAAATCACAAGCAGCACAGATCTTTAATTAATTTCATTCGACTTAGCTAACAAAGAATTATTGAACTGCTTCTATACTAACTTGGCAATCCGTATGACTTCAGCAGAGAAACACCAACTATTTACAAAGAAACACAAAAGTACGCATTTTAGCCGTAGATTGCAAAATAATGAACTTCAGCCAAAACCCAGCAACTTTGATCCTAGAACAGCAGCTTCTGAGGTGGCAATCCATGTGACTTGCTGAAGAAAAAAGATCCCAGCCCTTCAACACTACAACAAACACAAAATGAAGATTTCCAGACCGTAGGATCTGAATTTGTTTAAACTTATCAAAAAAGCAGTGGTCGGTACTGTAGCTACGTTAAAGTAGTGTATCTCTGTTAATATAACTGTTGAATAGTGAATAATATTGTAGAAGTATTGTATCGGTACTGTAGTTACGTTAAAGTACTGTAGCTTTAATTAACCGTTGAACGTTGAAGATTTTTAAACAAATACTGTAGATCTTCTTATTTACTTAGTAGCTGCTGAGCAGTTGCGTTTCTGCACTTCTTCTCTTATAGCTGCTGAATGACCCTTCTGAATTCACTTTAACTGGACTTTTGGTCTCAGTTTCTACTTTAACACTAACCATATGATCTTAATAAACTTGTTAATTAATTTGATGATTATTGAGTCGGTTCAAGCTTATTCTTTTCTTTTCTTTTTTCCTTTGTTTATCAAAAGTAAAGCATGTTGCTTCCACAAAGTAGAGTTATCTGCTGAATAATTATGTGGGTACTGGGTAGGACTTATCTCAGTTTTCTTTGAATTTCGAACAAGTTTCACCATTGATTAGAGTCTAGAAACTGATAATATATCAAGCATTTCAACCCACTTAATTTTTTTAATATTAAAAAGAAGACTTAATGTTTTATGAAGTTTTACAAATTTAACCCTACCTAACTAACGCGACTAAACAAAATAAATTATTAATTAACATTTTTTTAATACAAAATGAACGATGACAAGAGCATTTTGCTAGATGACGAATTATGAAAAATCGACTGTGATCAATTATTAAATAATTATCTTATTATATATATTAAGAGAGATAAATTTGATGAAATTGTCAATAAAATAATTATATAATGTTTTTAAAATATAAAAAATCTTTGAAGATAATTATAAAATTAATAATTTAGTATATATAACTTTTAAAAATCAATTTTTTATGTTTATTATTCTAGTATATATTTTATTATAAATTTATCAATTTTTATGTTATAAACACACTCCCTTCTAATCTTGACTACATCCTTATGTATGATAGATTTAAAAATGAATGTAACTATGTGACTAAGGCTGTTTGTGTTTATTTTTGCTGGTTGTGTGGTGGCTTTGCTGGTTCGTTTTCTGGGTTTTGTTCTCCCTTGCTTCAGGTTGTTTTGGTCTCCTGTTCGTGGTTGCTGTTTTTTTTTTTTTCTTGGCCGTGTAAAGGGCCTCTCCTTTGCCTTCCTGGGCTGTTTCTTTGTCGTCATCCATGAGACGTGTTCTGGGTGCGATAAAGGTGTTTTTCCGAGCTGTTTTGCTCTGTTTAGGCGTCATCCCTTCTTGTTTTAGAGGCATGCTTTTCCGGTCAGTTCCGTTTAAGTTGTAATTCTTTATTCTTCGTAAAATTGCCATTTCCTAAAAAAAAAGGTAAAAGTATTTCAATTTTCATTTTAAATATGTTATATGGAACTAATTATTTTTAAGTACTCAAATTGAATAAGAGTATGCAATTAGGCAACATACCTAAATTGTACAGGCTCGTATGAAAATTATTTTTTTCAACAACTTTTTCATCAGATAATTCTAATCATATTTTCGTTTTCGATTCATAATTTCCATCAAATTAAAAAAATAATCATTCATAGACTCGGCCATTTTTCATCAATGAAGATACCCACCAGCATATCATGGGATCGTTGCTTTGTCTTTCTTAAGCATCCATTCCAGTTCACTCCTAATAATAAGACTGCTTCCTGGATAATAAAGTCCCCAACCCTTTGCACTGCAAATGATAGAACTGCATCAACCATACTTTGAAAGCTAGATTTTGAACTTGATTTGTATCTAAGTGTAGTTTGGCTTGGTTTAGAGGATCTAGGAATTGAAATTTGACTTTGCTTAAAGTTATTGGGGCAGCAAAGCTCCAGAAGAGGGACCCCTGGCAATAGCTTGCTGCTGGTTAGGGAGTTTTTGGCGGAGACTGGACTTGATTTGGATCAGTTTTTTGAATCAGGATCACAAATGCCTTGTATTACTAATATTATTATTATTATTATTTCTCTAAAGTGGTTAAATTTTAGATCTGAGTCTTCAGTTCCGGTAGCCTAAATTATGGTGTATTGCGAACAAAGGCATTATCTTGATGATATATATGATTGATTGATTCAGAAAAATAAAATTAAAAAATACTATACATGCAAATTACATATAATTTGAAGTAGCAAGAGAGGTAATGTGAAGTTTTGAGTAGCAAGTAATCTTTAGCGTGATGGAAAAAAAAAAATGAGGAATAGTCTCTTGGTTCTGCAGATTTAACTTTGAAAACCATCTAGAAAACAAGGTTTTTATTGAAGTTGCAGAATTTATATATTCTATCGCTGTTTCATTATACTATTTATATTTATCGATGACGATGATTCTGAAGGAAACATGTACTTGCACATCTAACCTTAATTTTTTATTCTGCTTTGGGAGGTGAGATCACAATCAGCCAATCCTCGTTAACTTACAGAGGTAGTGACAACTTTTTGAAACCTCAGACAAAGGGATGAAAAGTAGAGTGCATTGTTGTAAACAAAGTAGAAAAAATATGTATAAACAAATAATGGGATAGTGGAAAGTTCTAAGCAAGATGTAGACATATTTTAGGTATTGTTTGTTGTTCCAAACACAAAGAGCCAGAAAGTTGTAGCTAATGGTTCTGAGATAAACCAGGCCTACTATGTTTGACTTATAATGTTGATTTTCCAATTGATATCAGAACAGCCTCTGTTTAGGTTCATATTAGCTGAATCCTGCAATTATGTTATGTTTCTAGAGATATAAATTGTTGGCGTTGTCGACTACTTCAGCAGTAATGGGTAACGGAGACGCACTCGGGGGTCCTGCTGTAGGATTTCTTTTAAGTTATTAATTCCTTTTTGGGTTGGGCTTAGGAATAAGAATCCTTGTAAAACTAGGTTTAATCTCTTAAACCTAGTATATAAACATACTTTTCTCTTGTTATGAGTGTGAGAGCAATTCATTCATTGTAAACGAGAGAGGTGAGGCATATTGCAATAATATTGACTCAGCTGGACGTAGCCCACATTGGGTGAACCAGGGTAAATCACGCGTATTATTTTCTTTGTTTACTGTTTGTTTTGTTTAACTATTATTATTTTGTTCATGCTGTTGTCTCTATTTCGTTCATAAATTACTAAGTTGGATTCTTTTCAGGTTTGGTGGCAATAATTATAGGCAGAGCTTTTGAAATGATTAATGAGGTATAGAATCGATTATAAGCTGATGCCATTGCCCTTCTTGATTGGCTGCTGAGAGTGCCATTATTTGTTCTAGAGATCATAGATGAATCATGCTTAATATGGCGCTCGTGTCATTATTACGAAGGCCAAAACCATAGAGCATAAGGCACTTGTTTACTCTTTACTCAAAAGACTGCATAAATAAAATAGTCGGTAGAATGCATGTGATATCTTTGCATATTTTAATTG